CACCCTAATTGGGAGGCAGACTCAGCTGAACCGTGCTAGACGGAACACTGTCACATTCAGCTGAGTCCGCTGCGCCGTGCCTCACGGTACATTGTCAGGCTCCGCTGAGTCGTGCCATACGGACAGCGCTGCTATTTGGGCTGAATTTTCTTCTTAAACACAAGTTATTCTGGATTGCATCCACCGCCGGCTGTATTCCCCAAGCGCCGGCGGTGATGTGAACTATTGCTAGATCTTGTATTTATCCTTAACACACTGGCAAAAAATGCCGAGAATTACACAATTGATCAAATTTTAAGCATGCAAGCTTTCAAAACCTGCAAATCTATTTTGCACACCGTCGGTGCTAAATAATAGAGTGCACCGCCGGTGGCTGAGTTGATCTCCAAGTTTGTTTGACAGCATTTTCTCTTCCACCGCTTTTTTTCCTGCTTATGGCCCACAGTTATTTCTAGAAAGAAAAATGTGTTTACATTAGAGACAAACTTAAATCTATTTACTGTATACTTCAGAGAGCCGCCGGCGGGTGCCATCAGTGTCATACATGTGAATGTAAACAACCAATGATAATTGATTAACCATTACTTTTATTTTGATTAAGCAATTGGACGCAGCATCTTGTGAAATATCCCAGTGTATATTCAAATGTGAATTTTTATTGAAAAAATGCTAGCAAGGCTTGAATCACCACCGGCGGCTCTTTACCCAGTGTCTATAAGCCCCATAACTTCAGTAAATTATGAAATTATGTCCATATATACTAGTTATTATACCATGACACTAGCACTTGTCTTTCAGTTGAGAAAATCTTAGAGTGAAGCGCCGGCGGCCTTCACTAGGCAGGCCGGCGGTGTTAATAAAGCCACCAATTGTGCTTTTGATTGCGCCGAAGGCGGTCTGCACATCTGTACCCGAAGCGGGTGGTTTGTCTCACACACCTATATATTGCTGCTTCGGCTGCCCTGTCTGCACTGCTATATTTGGCTAATTTCGGCTGAATCGGGTGCCCTGTGTGATCCATCAGTTTTTGATCTTCGGGTCCACTGTCTGGTTATTTATAAACACAGTACCATATGTGCACTTAAAATACATAGTAATAGTAAGCTATGTCCGCTATGGATTTTCTTAGAGGTCTACAGGTGAAGAGACCCATGCTATACGATACTACCCCCGAAAATCAGGTTTTGCTGATGACGACTCCACCCCAACTTTTGCACTGTTCGTGCCTAAGCGCCGTGGTATGAGGTGAGAACCGGTGGCACCTCTTGGGCCAGGATTGCCCGTCACAACACAATTCCGATCGCGCTGAAGCAACTTTGAAAGAAAGGCGGAGGTGTTCGACTCTGTTCCCTTGGTTGTAATAGAGCGGTTATGACGGGTGCTAAGGCGAGATAATAACACAGGGCTGTCTGGAACAAATCCGTAGATCCCAGGACGCAATAAATCGCCCGCACAGACTTGTTTCCGTTGTTCATTCCTTTCTCTGTACTACCAATCCAGAGGTACCTGTGGCAGGGATGAAGAGCTTTCCATTTCCAGAAGGTCCGGGGGACAGATTAGGCAAGCCACCTTTCAACAGACGTGCCGGCGTATCGACAAATTTCAGGTGATGCGCCTTGGATCAGATAAATGTGGCTAGAATCTTAACCGACAAGAGGAGCTGTTTGCACATCCTTCTCGGTGGCAGTGAGCGAGTTCACGGTTCTGGCTCGTCGTCTGCGTAACACCAGACTTGGGATCAGGAGAACCATATTGCGACGGACTCGAATTAATATTTCTTGAGGAGATGTGGGCGCAGAGGAGCCTATACTCGCTGGTTCTTCAGGCTTAAACATCCTCGGGAAAGCAGTTCTCGATTCTGCGTTACAAATAGGAAGATGGGCGTTGTGGTCAACCCTGAATGTCTGACTCGGAGGTGGCCGCTCCATCGAAATACATGCAAGCAGCCCCTATGGATTATCCGAACAAATGCCTGGTTCGTCGATCTTCGAACCAGCCGTACCTGCCCATATCAAACACCGAAACTTGTTCTCTCCCTCCTAAAAGTGCACTCAGCATCATCTCTTATACAACAGTTACACGAGACGAGAGGTTGTTCCTTGATTTCATTCTTGGCGTATCCTCTCCACAAAACAATCCGATCAAAGTGCCCCGAATCAATGCAACAACCTCCTTTCTCTTTTCTCTGACATCTAACGCACATGTCATCTTCGACTAGGTAGACGAACTTCTTGCCAGTCCTTGATGGTATGCCTTTCCTTGCTTTTTTGTCCAATGGGTCAACGACCCGAGACTCCTTGAATTCTTTGGTTTTATTGGGAGTGGGAATGACAGTTGTGGAGGAAGAAGCTTGGGCCTGAGCACCATCTTGGTTCGTCCACGAAGTTCTGGCTTGCCATTCCTCGTCTTCTCTTTTCTTGGCCTCCTCAATCATTTGTCGGTATTCTGCCTCCCGCTTTAGCCTCTCATTTATTTGCATCATTTTCTGTTTCTCGGCTTCCCTCTCAATTTCTTCCTGCTGTTTCCTCCAGGCATCCCGTTGGGCTGTGATTTGCGAGGATGATAATGGCCGCATGTTGTAGTTGAGTGGAAAACGCGCTTTCGGGTCTGCCAGTTTGCCGTCACAGCAACGTGGATTTGTGTACGCGTTGCTATTGTGATGATGGTCAGGGTCGTCAGACCATCTTTAAAGTAAGCTCTATCGTAGCTCTATCGTGGAGGGGGTTTTTTTTTCTTAAACGCCTTCCTCAAGTCATACCTGTAGACATCTTCTCCACCAATATTCTCGCGACGCGTCTCAAAAATAGGGGCAACATAGGGGAAGACAAAATTCGGACGTCTTGCTTCTACTGAACCAGAATGTCTTGGCTCAAGGGAAGTACATCTATACTCCTCGTTTATCCGAGACTCACCCCTTCTTTTCTACTCTACGAACTTCTTTAACCCGTTGTCAGTTACGACCATGATCGCTTTAAAAGCATTCGTTTCTTTAGCCTTTTTCACTCTGGCCAATGCTCAGGATGCAGACCTTGGAGTTGTCAAGAAAACATTCGAGGATGCGAAGGTAACGCATTTCCGACACTTCTGGACATCTTCGTTGACGACACTCTTCAACTCACCAGATACCTCAAAGTCTCGCGATCACGTTCGACCCCTGTGCTCTCCTTGAAGTGATCTTTCAGACAGACGTAACGAAAGCTCCCATACAAGTAGTCGCAGGAGTGACTTTGCAAAAGAACGGTATTTACCTTGCAAAGCGCGTCTGTCTCCGGAAGTTCTGATCATTTGGCTAGACACCAATACGCGACCCACCTTTAGCGTTGCGACTCCGGAAAATAAGGGGGTCAAGGCTGACGACCTTGGGCCGTTTGTCTTGAGCATGGTCGACCCCGATGCTCCTACTCCCCAGAATCCGACCGTGGCCCAGATCAGGCACTTTTTGGCTGGAAACTTCTACATCGAGTCTGAAGGAGCCAATAGCCAGCTCGTCAACAAGACCCCAGCCATTAGCGATTGGCGAGCCCCGAATCCTACACAGGGCAAAGATGCTCACAGGTTAGCACCAGTGGAGCTTACGTTCAATTTAAGCTGACAACACTAACATATATTCAGATATGTTTTCTTACTATACAAACAACCTTCCGGGTTCGAGAGCCAGACGCTTGTTAATTCAACTACACCAATCTCGACCTTTAACATCAGTCAATTCGCTGAGGCCACCGGGCTGGGCCAGCCAATCGCAGGAACTTTCATCTTAGTTGCCCCGCCCGTTCCGCCTGCGTAATACTTGTAATTTAAAGTATTACGGGGCTGAAGTGTGCATAACCACTCAAGTCCAAGTTGCTACTCTTCAAGAATGTTGCGCGACGCGTCTCCGGCTCAGGGGTAAAATACTACTTTAAATAGGGGTAGAGTACAGCTTTGACCTCCAAAATCGTCCCAAGACTCGAAGCTTCAAATTATCACTCTCGTGCTGTGAATCCCAGCCTTGGCGCAATACGTCGTAGGTGACGCACCTCCTTACAGATTGAAATAACTGAGCTTTCCCTCGGTCGCTCCACATAACACGCTTCTTCTACGACAACCATGGTCATTGTCTCAAAGATAATAACTTTCTTAGCCTTGCAGTTCGTCGCAGATTCGAGCCTTAGGACCGTTAAACAGGCGTTCAAAAACGCGAAGGTTAGTGGTGTTCTGTTCTTGACCGATCAGGTTCCTATTAATAAACCTAATGGTCGCAGTTACCTCATACTCTTGGGATCGAGTTCAAACCGAAAGCTCTTCTCGATGTTGTCTTTCTCGCAGATACTTCAAAGCCCCCTATAGATGTCATAGCCGGGATGGCTGTGTTGAAGAATGGTATGAAACACGTCGAAAGTCTTGGTATGCTACTCTGACCTTTTAGCTCAACTAGACACGAGCACACAACCCAGCTTCAGCGTAACGTTCCCCGGTAAACGTGTAATTCCTCCAGAATATGGTTCTGGACCATTTGTCGTGACCGTACTTGACCCCGACGCGCCTTCGCCCCAAAATACCTCTTGGGCTCAAGTTAGACACTTCTTGGCTGGGAACTTTTACTTTGAGTTTGGTGCATCTGGGCCACAACTTGTTAACAAAACACCTGCCGTCAGCGACTGGAAGGCGCCGAGCCCTCCGGAAGGGTCTGATGCCCATAAGTGAGTCGTGGTTAATTGCCGAGACTGTTTCGCCAACGATGTACTGAATTTTGCTTCCAGGTACGCCTTCCTCTTGTACAAGCAATCGCCAGAGTTCAACGATCAGACACTGGTCAACTCCAGTACACCAATCAAAAACTTCAACATCTCTCAATTTGCCGTGGCGACTGGATTGGGACAACCTATTGCTGGAACTTTCATCCTAGTTGCTCCATAAACGTGATATGTATCTCTTACAAAGTCGGATCCCGTCGACCCAAAATTATTCCTGTAAATATCAGCAATAAGCACTTATGACCTCCATACCAAAAATAAAAATTCCTCTCTGTCTGGGAGTCGAACCCAGCTTTCGCGCGGTCTTGCAAAGCTCAATGACAGGCGCGTGTACTAACCGATATACTAACAAAGATGAACTAATTATCTTTAGAGCGCGTAGAGAAACGTGTAACCTCGCGTAGCCCTCAACAAGCCGCCGGAGTATGCCGAAGAGACGTTAATCTTTCCTCGTCTGAGTCGTCATTCCGCCATATTTTGAACACCAGCACCGCTCTCCACCTCGCAAATACGATTTATCTGCAACCACACTCTGCGACACATGTTACGCTCTTGCTATCTTTGACGCTAAGATTATCGATGCAAAGGCAAACTTCAAGGAGTAACTGGCAGCAGCTGGCACCTCGATGGACGATTTCGTCCGAAATAAACCAACAACATGACCCATTAGTCAACCTTCTTCCTATCGAAATAGCTTCTCTAGTATTTCGGTACTGCCTCCCGGATATTCCATCGTTCAAATCCTTGAAAAAGTTGGACGAGTGAACTGGTTAATTGTCCAAATCAGACACACTCACGAGCTACCTTCAACGTTCTCGAATCCTTCCTCTCACCATTCGCCTGGACAGTGAATATCATGACAAAAATTTGGAATATAATCTTCAATTATTGAAAATCATTTGCAGGCAAAGATCTTTACATTTCGGCACCTGGGCGAGCGCTGTCTTGCCTTACTAAATTCACATCGGATTTGGACGAAGGGCCATCCTAGTTAGCTTGTTTGATCCTCAAACGGAGTGATCACTCAACCCATCAGCCGTTGCTTTTCAACGGGAACACCAAGTTTTCACTTCTTTCACCAATTCATCTTTCGATCTCGGAGATCGGATTTGGGGAGAAAAACTCTGATCTTTCTCGATTAACACATTTGGACACCGACACCCGACAAACTAGTCTTCAACTCACTCGTCTACTCGCCCTTTCGCCGTATCTAACATCCTTAAAATGCCGCACATTCCCACCCGGGATTGATGACCCACAACTTCCTAACTTCAGCGATACCTACCATACAGTGCACCCAGCTCTCAAGTCGTTAGAGATATCACTTTCAAGCCCTGCCAATGACTTTCTGGCACAAATAACTCTGCCCTCGCTTGAAAATTTCCAGTTCTTTTGCAGAGGGAACGGATACAGTGCGCTGTATCAACTCATTGATCGTTGCCATTGCCCTTTGAAGACTCTCCGCATAATCATGCCATGTGAAGAGGAAGAACTCTTCAGCGTATCACTGTCCAGGCGAAACTTCATTTCTTCCACAGCTTCGAACATTGCGATATGCTACCTGGAATGTCATCAATGCCGAAGGTGACTGGACTATCCTTTCCTCAATGCTGCCAGAGGCTCATTCGGAGGGGCCGGCACGTCGACCTCTGTCCAAAGTGATCGTGAACTCGGACATGGATCCTCAACACCTTGTAATGGCTCACGAGGTCAAATTTCTTGTAGACCTCATAGATGGAGGTCTAGACATTTCCGTTTACTTACTAGATATCAATCCGAAGAAGAACTTTCTCTTGGACTATGAACCACTCGCGTAAGCCTTAGGAAGGTTACACGATAGATTGTCTCTGAGTATCTGATAGATATGTACATGTTGTCTTACACGATTAAGTACACCAATCAATTATTCAAGGACTTTAGATCTATGATTCTGAATGAAAGATACGTGTGAGCTTAAGCAGAGGTAAGTGTTTAGACACGGGCGATCACTATTAGACCAGTGTCTTAGCATCTCAAGCGGCATCATCAGCCTGTTTGCCTTTCACGACGCTTTCGAGCACCTCGCCAGCTGCCTCAGGAGTCGTAGCCGCGTGAACTACAGCTGCCAGCCCCGTCGACTCCGGTTCTGCCTCTGTACCAATCTTCGAATCCTCAGTCCGTGCTCGGACGGGTGGCTCAACGACCTCAAGGCCTTGAACGTCACCGTTCGCTTGGGGAAGTGGAGACGGCTGCGGTACGATCCATTCCATCTCGATTTCGAGGTCAATGATTGAGCTTCCGAGGCCAAGTGGGAAGTCAATGTCGGCACGTGTGAGTTTGAGGGTCGATTTCGGTGGAGTCGAAGAGTCGGAGGGAGAGGCAGGAGGTGGTTGCGGCATGTGGAAAGTTGGTATGAACCACGTCCATCCCATGAAGACCTGACCCATGTAAAGTTTCACTCTGATCTCTCTGCCTGCGTCGAGGACAACACCTTGCTCTAGACTTCCTTGTCCGATGGCGTTTGGAGAGCCCTTGAGACCAGCCGTTGTAACATCATACATCGAGTTGGCTTCTGATCGAGAGACGCCTGCAGCCGTTGCGTTTTGGTCAATGGCTTCAAGAGTTTTCTCGAGGTCGTGCTTATCGTTGCCATCGTTTTTGCTCAGATCGTGTTTGAGACCTTCCCAGCGCTTGTCTGAGAGTGGCGTCAGGGTGTAAACGTGAATTTTTCCTTCCTATAAACAGGTCATAAAGTGGTTAGGATTCGTAGTACGGAATAGGAATGATCTTACTTTCTCATCTACCACCTTCTCCTCGCCAGTAGTACCACTGATACCCAACCTTGCGAAACTCCGAACCATCTTGCCTTTATCCCATTTCCCACTCGAAAAAATCTCTTTCAAAACTTCCTCTTCTGTGGACTCTCCCCGACGAAGATGCTCAGACTCAGGTCTTCGCTTTGCCATGTTCCCAGTCTCGTCCCGAGTGTATACTTCCCACTCTTCTAGCAGATCGACCAGACGATCGTCATACCGAGCTAGAGATACCCAAACTTGACTCGACCTCGGCGATGGATATTTCTCTCCGTCTTTCTTCTCTCTGTCCTTCCCATCTGGCGAAGGTGCGTTAGGGCCTTTAGCCATCCCAGTCTTCTCGATAACTTTGTTAGCCGCTCTGACGATCCCAAGCTTCATACTCGACGTTTCTCGCATGCGGAGTTTGAGCTGAGTAAGTCTAATCTTGGGTTTAGGTGCGTCGCTCTTGATAAATGGGGCTATCTTGAGGGAGGGTTCTTTGACACGCTCAACGGCCCATATGTGTTTGGGTGCGTCATGAGATAATAGGAGAGCCCAGTAATAGAGGAAGCGGCGCTGTGAGGGGATGCTGACGCCTTGCTTGACTTTCAGCTCTTTGCTGTTGTCAGTCTCTTTGTCAGAAGCAGGTTTCATGCGTCTAGCGGTGTGCAGGTCAAGTACACCTTTGAGCGAATCGGTGAAGGATGCCTTTGAGGCTTCTGGCGCCTTTGCTACGGCAGAGTCTTTTGCGAGCCCGTCGATATCAGAGACTTTGGTTGTCTCTAAAGGATTCTGAGGATCGTCGTCTGGAGGGACACTCTCAACAGTTTTCTCCATACGTTGCTTGGCCCAATCCTTCTTTGAGTAATTTCGCTGTAGTTGTGGGGGCGAAGCTTTGTTGTGGGCAAGTAGGTATGTACAGGCCATCGTTCCGGAACGGCCTTTTCCAGCTACAAACCAGAGACGGGTTAAGGGCTACATGAGACACCGAACGATCATAGAACGTGCCTTTGCAGTGCAGCACAGCGACTCGTTCACTCGAGCCATTGAGCCACGCGTCGATTTCTCTGGCGACGAGAGGCATGATTGCCAAAGGAGGTGCACTTGTATTTTGAAGTAAGAATCTAAGTTTCAGACGCTAGGAAAGACTCACTGATGATCTGGGAACGGATATCGGCTTACCCTTCCTCCGAAGATTGACGACTCATAAGAGTTCTCTTTGATAGGACAAAAATTGAACACCCAGAAATTATTTCCGTGTCGATGTTCGAGAAAACGTATCGCATCTTCTCGACGGTTGCGGTAGAGGCCTTCCATACCTGCCGCTGGGTATCCCATTATGATAATCTGGTCTGTTACATATACAAGATCTAAAAAGACATAGAACTAGTTAGATTGTTTGCATTAGAGCAAAACTTCTCTACATACCGAGTTCTAGATCTAGCTCATCGTCTTTAAAACGAGCCTTATTTCCAGAAACGAGACGGCGAACGAAATCTGTCATGGTTGCGATCCAAGAGAGGTTTGTGTTTGCACACTCCGTGGTGTACCAAATCAGATCGTGACGTCAATTCTGCCATTTCGTCAATTTGTTGGGAATATTTGATGCTGTGTTAACGAATTTTACTCGAATTCACTTTTGGCATTGAAAGTTTGAAGCTGGTAAAGCTCAAATGAAGAATAGAAGTGCTATTTGCTGTGGACGTCCGACGCTGAACTTGGTCAGTGGCATGTATCAAGAAGGGAAAACAGAAAGAAACAAGAGCAGGTCTCTTGGGCGTGAGTCCCACGATGAGACACGGCGTGAGCGGCATTCGCACGACATCCAACCAAATTATTGAAAAGCTCTCAAGAATCTCCAACCACATTAAAGCCCATCACACAGTAGGTTACGACGTACCTTACGAATTTGTCCTGGGACTACTTTGCAAACTATCTCAAAAAGGCAGTTGGGAAGTAACACTTGCTTATCCACTCAAGCGGCCGCAGGTTGGTTATCGGTAACTGCAAATGTTACTTCATGATAGATAACCTTTTTATTACAAATATTGTTATCTCTGACGATCGTCAGTCCAGTGACCCGTCCATGCCACCGTGACGGTGAATGCTTCTTCGAACTATCAGGAGACAACATTCGTAAAACCTTGACAAATCGACCGTCTTGTTGAGACTGAACGAGGTGCAGTGCATCTGAAACCTGTCGGAGACTGGACGTTACAATTGACATACATGACTGGAAACTCCACATTATCTATTCTCCCTTCCAGATGCTCTCAACGAGCCACTTTTCTTCACTGGATTGTCGCAGAAATGGCATTCTGCCTCGGGGCATTCATTAAAGTGGTTCGATATCTTCTTCTCTGAGCTTGGTTGCCTTATCCTCCTGGGCCTCTCGCGAAAATTGGGATACCAAGTAATATAAGCGTCATACCCCTACGAATCCAATGAGTCTTGTTCACCACATCGCGATTAACAAAAATTCAACTAAACTGGCGAAGAAAGAAGATAAATGCAATGGAGTACACTGTTGAACGTCGTATGATCTGTTTCGCGTGAATGGTCAGTAACATATCGATCCTCC